TGTCTCAAGAGTCCATCAAAGTGATAGCAGAGAGCATTGGTGTTGGTAATTTTCCGGATGAGGCTGCGAAAGATCTTGCAGAGGATGTCAGTTACAGGCTAAAAGAAATTGTTCAGGTTAGTAAAAATAAATTGTATCTTATATATTAAAGTTCCATTGAGAGAGGGAGAGAGAGAGAGAGAGAGAGAGAGAGAGAGAGAGAGAGAGAAAAGAGATTCTTAATCTTAAATGTATTAAAAACGTCTCCTTCACTTTACCTTTTATTTTCACTTTTGAAGATTCCTTATCTCATGTAACATGTAAAATACCAAAATATATGTGATATTACGTACATATTTTTTACTTTATTGGTAGACTGCAAAAACAGTGTTTATTATAGCATGTCATATGAATTATATATATTTTTGTGAAATAGTAATAGCTGTGTCTCTTACAGGATGCTGCAAAATTCATGAGACATGGAAAACGTCAGCGAATGACTGCGCACGACATAGATCATGCGCTGAAGATCAAGAACATTGAGCCGACATACGGATTTTTCGCCAAGGATCACATACCGTTCCGCTTTGCGTCAGGTGGCGGTAGGGAGTTGCATTTTGTGGAGGAGAAAGAAATCGACCTTAACGAGGTTGTAGCTACAGCCGGCGGACAGTCGTGGCCGAAGCTTCCTCTGGAAATTACGTTACGAGCCCATTGGCTGTGCATTGACGGGGTTCAACCTACCATACCAGAAAATCCACCGCCAGTGTCAAAAGGTTTCTGCTGATTCCTCAATTTCTACGGGAATGCAATTATAAGTTTTTCTTCGTACTTTCGAAAGTGAAGAAAAATTTTAAGAATATGTGTTCAAACGATCTGGACACAATTCGCAGGCTTATAATCTCTCAATTTTCAATTAATCACCACGTTAATTTTCAACAGACGTCCAGAAACTGGAGAGCGTCGACCCGACGGTTAAGCTCTCCAGCAAGAATCAGAACATCGGCGTCGGTAAGCCGGGCGGCGGTGGCAAAAGTCAGAAGCTGCGGAACGTCGAGACCGTTCACGTGAAGCAGCTCGCGACGCACGAACTCAGCGTGGAGCAGCAGCTGTACTACAAGGAAATAACCGAAGCGTGCGTTGGCTCCGACGAGGGTCGCAGGGCCGAGGCGCTTCAATCGCTCTCGGCGGATCCAGGTCTACACGAGATGTTGGCGCGTATGTGCACCTTCATCGCGGAGGGTGTGCGGGTCAATGTAGTGCAGAATCACCTCGCGCTTCTCATCTACCTCATGCGAATGGTCAAAGCCCTACTTGACAACCCGAGCCTCTACTTGGAGAAATATGTAAGCTGGGCTTTCATCCTTTTTTCTTTTAAACACATTAAGAGGTCACGCCACATATGAGGCCTCAAAATGATACCTAAGTTTGGGATCTTTTTTGTGGGTAAATAGATATAAAGTTTATTTAAAAGCTGTTTAGAGGACATTGTGTTGTATGTACATACATATATAAGAAACTAAAAATGATATTTTTTGATTTTTTTTTATGTACAAAATAGCAACGCACTGGCCTACTTGCTGGAATCCCTTTTTTCTATTTTTTCGGTTTGACCTTGAACAAAACAAAGAATTTTCATATCTACGTATTAAAGACTATAGAAGTACGTAGCGGTTTTTTTAAATATTGATTTTTCTCGAAATGGCAGCTATTTTTACGAAAAGTTCGTATTTTTGTCAATATAAGTCTTTCGTAAAATAGCTGCTATTTTGACAAAAATCAATATTTTGAAAAATCCCTACGTACTTCTCTAGTCTTTAATATGTAGATAATGAAAATTCTTTGTGTTTTGTTCAAGGTTAAACCGTGTGTCTGAAATCTTGTACACCGATAGAAAAAAAGGGATTCCGCAGGTGCAGGTCAGTGCGCCGCCATTTGGGACATAAGAAAATTAAAAAATAATTTTTTGGTTTCTTATATATGTACACACAATAATGTCCTTTAAGCAGATTTTAAATAAAGTTGTCCATTTACCCACAAAAAAATCCCAAACTTAAGGTATCATTTTAAAACCTCAGAAGTAGCATAACCCCTTAACAAACTGTTATTCAAACTGTTTTTGACGTTAATATTTCAATTTTTTAGCTTCATGAATTGATACCGTCAGTTGCAACCTGCATAGTTTCTCGACAATTATGCATGAGACCGGAGGTGGACAATCATTGGGCGTTACGCGATTTTGCTTCCCGACTGATGGCGCAGATATGTAAAAATTTCAACACCTCCACGAATAATGTGCAAACTAGAGTCACTCGTATGTTTAGTCAAGCATTGGCAAAGAATAGTCAGGTAAAGTTTTTAATGTACTTCACCCAGTATTTTTGTAATTTTCTATAATTTCGTATAACTATAATAACGTATTTCTATAATTTTCTTAAACCGAAGTATGTCCGTAATTCTAATGGATAAATTTAAGAGATTATACCTGCGTCACTGACGTATTAGTGTGGCCAGTGGCAGCCATACACTTTCATTTACATAAATGAAGTATGAATAAAATACTGCACTAAGAAGAAATAATTTCAGAATAGTGCAGATTAATCTAGCTATCAGATAAATTTCTAGCTCGAATTCTTGCTTGATTTTACGAGATGGTTATTTTTTTTGTAGACACCATTGGCATCTCTGTATGGGGCGATCGAAGGGCTCTGTGAATTGGGACCAGAGGTGATCAAAGCTCTGGTAATTCCTAAAATTAAGTCTATCTCTGAGCGTATCGAATCGTGCATCGAGGGTCAAGGGCTATCCAGCGTTGATAAAAATGGAGCAGGACATATCAAGACTCTGCTTGTGGTAAAACTAATTTTAAAAGATATAAAAAAACATTCGACGTATGTAAGCATGTAGAATGAAATGTGAATAATTCTCGAAACTGATTACTATTCACTTTATACTCCTTTAATCTACAAAACTTCAACTCTTCAATCAACCTTGATACGTAAGATGAGAGTTTGAATTGATTATGAGTGCTTTCGCATAGAGCTATGCGTCACGCCATAAGAATATAAATCATCTTAGTTTCATTAAGAAAGTGGGAATTATTTTTAAATTAAAAAAAATTAATTTATTTTTCTTTATACTTTCCTGTGAAGCTGATAAGATCGATGTTGTTTGTCCATTTTCGTGGAAGATTAGTGTATCTAATACTTCTTAATAGTAATTATATTAAACATTACGTTTTCTCATATTAATTATGTGCACATCAAAGATTTGTGAAAAATCTTTTCTAGAAATCAGTTGCTCCGGTCCTGAAAACAATACGATCGCCACCAGATTACGTGGAGGAGTACAAGCAGGATTATGGATATATAGGGCCTGCATTGTGCGCTGCAGTCGTAAAAGCACGCACGCAGCCGGCTGCTTTAACAACCACAGCTACAACTACGGCACTCACTACGAATCAGCAACAAGGCTCTAATTGCACAGGAAAAACGCTCGTGCAGACAGGTAAGCGAATCGATCATCGACGGTGGTGATGTGCTACGGTGATGTACTATGAGTAATTGCGTATTACATTACAGTAACCAGTTCGAGTCCAGGCCAGCAACCCGGTCGCACAATCATGCTTGGCACAAGCAGAAGTGCTACCGGAACTTCCGCCACCGGTGGACAAAAATTTGTCATCTTGCAATCGCGCTCGCAAACACCTACTATCTCCAATATAAATACCACTATCAATACCGGTGCGATGCAACAGCAGCAGCAGCAGCAGCAGCAACAACAGCAGCAACAGCAGCCGACACAGACACAACCACAAACACAACAGCAGCAGCAGCAATCGCAGCAACAGCAGCAGCAAGTTAAATTGGCGCAAACCAATGTCGTCCAACAGAAGACACATGTACAGAGTTCTACACCGAAATTAGTTGTAGTGTGTATGGCTGCCACTGGCCACACTAATACGTCAGTGACGCAGGTATAATCTCTTAAATTTATCCATTAGAATTACGGACATACTTCGGTTTAAGAAAATTATAGAAATACGTACTGGGTGAAGTATATTAAAAACTTTATTTCAACAGGCAAATCTTACGACAAAAACGCAAAGTGTCTTTGTCACGCAGCAGAGTGGCGAGAGGTCGCTTAGTCCAGAAGAGGAACAGACGTTTCAGTGAAAAAGAAAAAATATATATATATATATTATAGAGTATATAAGTGACAAGAGATGAAAAGAACTTCCAAATACTTCCTTATACAGTTAATACATTCTTTAGAATAAGAGAAAATATTTCTAAATAAAAAATAAACTTTTACGAAGATATTGAATGAAGGAGCTTGTATATCTTTCTTAATTTTTAAATCTAATACTGTATATTTTTTTTTATTTCTAAATTTAATGAATTCTTTTTTTTTTATTCAATTGTGAATTTTTTGAATTTCTCATTTATTATTCTTATATTTATGTATAACAAAAATACGTTTTTTTATTTAAAAAAAATATAGAAAATTATGTTTAGTAATTAAAAATTTATATTAAAAATGGGTTGATGTATCAAATAAGATTTGTATTAATAATTTAGATAATTAAATAAGATTTGTTTTATTCGAGCTATAATTACAAACTGGTTTATTGTGTTGCACATTGCGTGCAACCAAATTCGCATTAAACAAATTAAATTATTTTCTACTTTTCGCAAGGATTGTTGTCGATTGCTTTTGTTTTGTCGGATCGAATTTAAATGTTTTCACTATGGGACCCTTACCAGCACTATTAAACTGTATTGCATCTGCTCGTTCTCTATCGGCTAACTGCTTTGTTATCTTCATATTTGTCCAAGCTAAAACAAATGTAATGCAGATACATTTAACGTATTTTGTACTTTTATATAAAATGTATGCATATGTAATAATTTCTTCATTTGCACATGCAACTGATTACTTATATTTGTCTATTATATTTTTGTTGTATGAAGTTGAGTTATTAATCAGTATATGCATTAAATATTAACAGACTTTCGCAAAGCATCGTTATTTTCCGATACAATGTGATAAATATGTATACATTTGTACATACATACACACATGCAATACTTACATTCCTTGACTTCATTAATGAAACCTTTCTTGCTAGTGGGTGCTGCAGTATGGCGTTTTATCACGTTAGGTATACCGAGAGAATTTTGTACACGTGGAATTTTTAATATCCCAGTTTGCACCAGAGAAACAACGTTTGTCGATAGCCAATATATTAAAACAGTCTACAAGCACGGGAGAAATGTGGCGTTAAAAAAAATGCAAAGAAAAAAAAGTATACGTTCAAAATAATATATGCAACAGTTAGTTTGCGTTTAAATTAAATATTTCATGATGTACAAGTATTCTCACATTAATTCTTATATGAACCATAAATACAATATATATATATACTTACCCCAGGGAAGTGTACCATGAACGGCAATGCGATAAGTGGCACAGCTCGCAAGACATATCGAAATAAGCCCATCGCGTGGATATTAGCGCCATCCGTGCCGAGTTCGATTGTGACGTACAGTGTCACACTGGTAGCTATCGGCATTATATAATAAGGATCGTACACTGTAAGATCATGCAGCCACAAGAAGCCGCCGTCTTTCAAACTCTCCACCGGTAAGTTTGCCATTCTTTTCAGCGCGAGGAAGAAGGAGATGAACACTGGCGCCTGAAACATTGAGATTGTAATCGGGAAATGATCTTTTTTTTTTATGCGCACGTACAAATGCGTAGAAATATATTGCGCACCTGGATTAATATCGGTACGAAATTCTTTACAGGACTAACGTCCTTCTGTCGCATGAACTTCATCATTTCTGCCCCAATCCGTGCGCCTATTCGGAAGAGAACAGAAGATCACTTTGTCTACTTTTTATATCTTTAAATTATAGCGAGATTAATAAACGCATTTTTTGTCAATACCAAAATGACTTCGACAATACTAAAACATTTCTAACATACTTTCCAGATGGTCGCCCATATTCCTGGCTTCCGTCAATCTCGCTTGCATGTCTTGTATTATTGGCATGTGATTTGCAAATTGAATCGCATTCTTCCGCGCTTTTATCACCAGGGGAAACACAAGGCATCTTACACAAACAGTAGCTGAAGCAAAACAATTGGATTTGTACTAGTAATCATTCTAAGACTTTGATTAAAAATCAATAATCATCTCGCGATAACAGAAACAGTACCTGTGACGATTGTCAGCCACCATGGCATTTCTAAATTTATGTGCATAAATTCTAGGAAATGCTGTATCATCCCCGGTGGATACCAACCACCTAGTCCTATACTCTCAAACGTTGGTTCACCATTCGGATGCAATTTCACAATATTTTCCACTATTTCTTGTACTGGCGTCGGCGGATCTATGTAAATATTGCAGATAAGTTAAATAAGTTTTGTGAAATAATTTCTATAACTTTATAACTATAATTCTTTCATGTCTCATGTTGTAATTACAATAATATAAAATTTCAAGAATAGGAGAATGCTTTATATGTGACAAGTTTATTTTTAATGTGTATAAATATATATAAATTAATATATAATTAACAATGTTAAATAATTATTTGTCACAGCAACTAAATTTTTTTTTTCTGTGCTCATTATAGTGCTGTAATTATTACAGTAATACATTCATTCCATAGAAAAAGGTCTAGTATAATATATATTAATTTAAAAAAATGTTTTTATATAAACCTGGTATTTCGTCATATGGACTACTTTGCAGTGGTGTTTCATTTGCTGCGACTTCATTTATTATAGTTTCATTTGTTGCAGTTTCACTTGCTGGGGTCTCATTTGTGCTAGCGTAGCGAACCAAAGAGATTCCTGTAATTCTGCAGTTTCGATGCAAATCCAACAGAGAATTGTTTCTAAGAATCCTTTTTTCTCGAGCGACTAAATGAATACGTCTGCATGTAACAATCCTTTCCTAAAAAAGAAAAAGATGTTCTTCTTTGAGTGAAGATAGGTAAATAAAAGTATAACGTATATGAATCCTACATATATCGATACGTCCTATAAAATAGATGTATTTGGCACAGAGTTGTTAATGTGCATGTCGATCTTTTTTTTTTTTAGAATTGTGTTCTCAGTTGTCAGCTAAATTTCTTTTATTTAGGACACAAACTCGTCGCTCTGTAATTCTCGTCACCAGATAATAACCTAATCTAACCTCTAAAAGACAGCTAAAAGTATTTCACCTGCGAAATCGCATTTGATTTTAGCAACGCTTGCCGGCGAACGATGGTGGACAGCCGCAACATTTCTATGCTTTTCAATTAAATCGTGATTCTTGATTAATTTACAAAGTATAAAGAACTCTTCACGTACGTACACATGGGACTGAACTCGGCAGTCGGCATGGACCGCTCACCGCAAGCTCCGCTTGCCGCTTACGTCGTTACTACGTGTGTAGACTGTAGAGTAAGTTGTATGTAGAACTTTTGTTGTTTGAAAAAAAATCGAAAGAAAACGATACAATTTTTAACCGTAGTTGTATAAATCGTAAAAAAAATTATTATGAATGAACAATTTAATCATTTATTCATGATAAATTTCATCAAAACGATATAAAACTAATATAAGTTATTATAGAAATTCTATCGATATTTCAATGGCGAGAAATTTAACAATCTTATTATTAATTATCAAAGACGTTTGCAAGTCCCGGGACGTGGTCGTTTAAATGGACGCGAGAAATTTAAAAGTCTTATTTTTATAATTAACAAAGACGATCGCGAGCCCCAAAACGTATAATCGTCTACATTTTTTTGAAACCCACATTGTTTCTAGCGATGGATTTTACCGACGGCGGATTTTTATCGACGCGCCGGAATCGCGCTTCGCGGAAAATCCGTCGTGTGGCGCGCACCGCGCAGTCGCCATCTTAGAGTCGCGTCGTTTCGAAGCAGCTCCGGCCCGCTCCGCGCTGCTCCGCGTTTCGCCGATCCTTTCGCATCGAAAAATCATGTCGCGCTTGTAGCAAGAGTACATCCCGAGAAGGTATCCACGTAAAGTATCGACGTAAAGTATAATTTAGACTGTAAGATGCTAGATGAACTGTTCCTCGTACGAGCAATTCTCGACGCGGCACAGCGACGCGAAGATCAGTGCGAGGATGTCGCCGCGTCATTCCGTGTCAGCTCTTTTATTTAGAAATTTAAATTTGCGCTCGAAGCGAATGCCGGTAGCAGCGAGAAGTTCGATGTACGAGTTCGCATAGCAAGCTGTTTTTTTTTTAAATAATTTTTAGATTTTACGTGTGCATAAACGGCATAAATGGCCCTTCGCGCCGCATCGAGCTCGCGAAACATCGCGCGTCGGCGTATAAGGTGCAATTTCATGAGACGCTCGTTTTAGCGAGCCATGACATACAGAAAAACTTAAGCAGTAAGACGTAAGCAGTAAAGAAATCAACATGTTAGATTTTTGGTAATCTCATGACTTCGACTTTGACGCTAGCGTCAAAAAAAGGAAGCTGGATTTTCTCAGCTTTAGCGTCAAAGGCTGTTGTTTTTTGTTCGGAACATTTTAGATATACGAATTATACGATTGACGTTAAACTTGATATTGCCGCTTTTCGTGCAAGCCAACTATGATCACGTAATTTTGACGTCAAAAATGAGCGTCGAGCATCAGCATAAAAAGGCACCTTTAGCCGCCGCGTCGCTCTACGATTTTTCCACTCGTACAAAAATTTGCAGCACGCACGGCACGTTTTCGGAGATATCCTTAGAACATATATATTACTGAAAGAAGCAGAGGTTAAATTGTTATGTTTGAAACATTTATATTTAAAACAAATGTTTAAAACATGTTTTAAACATTATTTTGTTTTAAACAAACATGTGTTTTAAACATATTTTAAACGTGTTTAAAACAAATGTTTAAAACATGGTGTTTTTTTTTTTTTTTAGGAAAAGATTTAACATGGATTTTAAGAAGATATATTCAATATTGATTATATATAACGTCTAATTCTGCATTTATAGTCGATTCGATTCTTATATTTGAGGTCATTAATTAATACTACAAATGCTTTGAATTTTCTGATTAGTCAATTAGTAAAATATTTTCTTCTGATAATCAATCATCAAAGCCGAATTAGCATCTTAATAAGACATTACTTTAAGATGATCCTGAAATAAGAATGGCCTGATGTGTAAGCTATAATCAAAGTATTTCTTTATATATTTTTGAAATTTTTACACAGAAATGAAATTAAATTTAGAAATTAATATTACTTATTAAATTTTAAAACCTAATTAAATTATTAAAAATATTAAAATATAAAACTTAATATAATTGGCATAATTGTATGAAATAAAATTAATAGATTGTATATTGATTTTAGCTATTTTATATATATATATATATATGTATATATACATGTATATTTAAAATTAAAACATGTTTAAATCATGTATTCTTAATGTTTTAAATATATTTTTTTTAAATACTGTTCAAAACATGTTTAAAACATTAAAAACATGTTTTTTAAGCAAAAAACATGTTTTTTAAGCAAAAAAAACTACAATGTTTTGTTTTAAAAAAAAAAACATGATTTTTATCAACCTTGAAAAGAAGAATAGAGTGCTGAACGTGAAGCCAACATCTGTGCGAGAGAGAAAGGTATAAATTCCCAATAGTCTGTAATTCGCATGTGCCTCACTCAGCCCATTTTGCCTAATTTCTTATTTTTTGAAAATCTTTAAAAAAAAATGAAAAACGGGGCTAAGTGGGGACTGAATGGCACTTGCGCATTACAGACAATTGGGAATCTATACCTTTCTTTCTCGCACAGATATTGGCTTCAGCTAGATGCATGGACGGTATAGGTAATTCTCCTTCCAGTTAATATATGTTCTAAGGAAATATCTCAAATTTAATGTTGAAGAATAGAACAATCGATAATGCATAAACGCGCGATGACAAACTGTTTTCGCGAGGAGAATCGATTTTAGCGTGTGAATCTTCCGTCGCGCGATGGCTCGGGCATCGGTGCGAAGTTGCCGTCATTCGCGTTCGCTACGTCCTCGTTCGTTATTTACAAGTGTATCGCGCGATTCACGCGTGAGAGGAATATCGGGAATGTTGAATTCAGTATCGATCGATCGATCGCACTACAAAGACATAATTGAGGATTTTTGCAATCGCAGGATTGCCATAAGCCGGACATCAGCAATAAATCATCCCCGTTGGAGACTTACGAGAGGATAAGCGGAAGGATCGTCTCGTTATCCCCATCGTTCCCGAAATGCATCGTGGCGACGAGAGAGAATTGCTGGACAAGGTTTGGACGATCATTGCGACGCTGAGGTAAGTGATACTGTTCGAAGTTTCTCTATGATATTTTTTAATTTTTGTGCGCTCCAGTTCACCCAGGGTCAAGTTAAAAATGATCCATTTTACCATCTAGAAGAATATAATATCTTCTTAAAAAAAAACATGTAGAAAGAAAACGCAGATTGATATTTATTGTACATAAAATTTTTTTGTATTAAATTCTTACAGTCAGCAAAAATACCTTATGTAAATTTTATTATAAAAATTTACAATTTAACTATTACTCGAAAATACTACAAAATAATACTCAACATAAAATAACTATGACGAACGATAGCTTTTGGTATTCATTACAAAAAACTTATCAAATTTATCAAAGAATATTCTGTTCTATATATGTTGTCTTATTCATATTTCTCTCTACTGGTCGATTTTGTGAACCACCCCGTATAGTGTACACCGCGTACATTTTATTATTCTTCTCCGCGTTATAAAGTATCTTACAATTGATTCTAAGAAGCAAGACTTAACAAAGAATTCTTAATAAAATTGTCAATATTTTTTTATTATGATATATGAAATATGTCTATAAAAATTCTAAAATTAGAAACATTAGAGTCCTAATTTAACTAATTTTCTATGTATTAATTTAAAATCTCTGACAAATATTGACATAATAAGCAAAAACGTTATTAATATCTTGTACAATATACTAAAGAAGTTAACCAATAAAACTCTGTATAAATATAATAATTAATCAAGAATAAAATTAGTTGTTTCAACGTAGCAAAGAGAATAACAATTTATAATACGGAATTGTATAACATATCAGGTTAAAAACAAAGTCTTAACCGATGCCGTTCACACGATTTTACCGAGATCTGAGATCTACCACACAGTACATTTCTTCACGGGGTTCATTCTGGATCCGATCGGGCAATTAAAATCACGCGAAAACTCCTACATGTTTGACAGTGGTCCACGAATGCGAAATTCGAACGGGCTATGGGAAGATGTTGTAATCTGTAGTTTCAGCGCTTCCGGCCGATCCTTGTTACACCAACAATTGGCCGTGCTTATCCAGAACATTTGTTCTGGATATACGACAACCCCGGTTGCTCCGGCTTGTTTTGTTTAGCCCATTCTTTGTACGCGTAATATAGGCTGCCTTTATGCCGCCATTGTCCGCGATGTTCTCACCCTGGGTGTTTAACCCGTTTAACTGTAACAATATATATAACATATATTAATACGATAAAGTTTTAATCTAAAAAATATTTTTATATTAATATATTTAGTTAAAAAATATTTCAAAAGGCTTTTAAAAGGCTTAGCCAATAAGTCTGAGTTGCGAAATGACTCATATGACTACTGCAGTTTTTTCATATTTTATCGATATTATTATCTACCCAGATAGCACACAGAGTAAAAAAAAATTCAGTCGTATATTTAGTTATATGTCATCAACTTTGAGTTCATTTTCAGGTGCATAAAGAATTCTTTTTCAGAATTGGTAGAAAATGAATTCAAAATTGATGACATACGATTGAATATATGAATAAATTTTTTTTTAAATCTCTGTGCTTTTTGGGATATTAATATGTGCTTTAACGGAATTGTTTCTAGTTACCAATACTGTTTTCGATCAAATCGTACATCGCACTGACGGTGCACATAGTCGACATTTTATGACTTATCCATTCTGTCCTATTCACTGGCAGTTTCAATCTACTAAATAAGAAATTTCTATCAACGGTAGAACCCATTAAGAACGTTCCCTATATAATTGTCAGCGATCAATTCAAGATTTTCATAAAATTTCTCGAGCTTTCTATCATCCAACAATTCATTTGGATAGGCAGTACGTGGTGATATCATGTCGACTGCTTTTTTTTTAAGTGTTTGTTCTAATTTTCTTATCCGTCCACCTAAAAATGCTTGTAATTTCGTTAAAAAGTTACTAACCTTTCCAAATATATGATAGAGAATTTTAGAATTAATATTTTTAATATACATATATCTACTACTAACAAATATATAGATAACTAAAATCTTATTTCTAAAATTCTAATTTATTGATAAAAATATACATATGTGAGACAAGATTGAATTAAAATTTT